TGAAGATAAAAGGTTTATGAAATTAGAAAAACGACCCCTTAACGCATTTCCACACTTTTTGTCGCCTGATTCAAATGAATGCGGATTTAATCTAAGGCAGTTAAACTGGCAAACCCTTTGTAATTATAGAAGTGACATTGAGTATATCAACATCGATGTCCATACCTGGCAAGCAACACAGACTACATAAAATACAACGTCAATTTTCCTCCAGAACTCTAAGCAGGTTGCTGATAAAATACATCAGGGTAAGAATGCGCTCATGTTATGTTAGCAAGCATGACTGACAGTTCTTGGGGTACCGCAAGCCGAAAACGATAGCCTAATGAGATCGGTTGCTGACGAATGTGCACATTCCGCACATGGATTAGTGTTCCGTTTAGACGAATTCCCAAACTCTTCCGATTTTGCAGCTCTCTCTTACATATCGATGGTGTGTCAGCCGCAAACGGTGAGCTTTTTGTTTGCCTTTATATTGAAATCCTTTTTTTACAATTTATTCCTAAACGCAGACATTGTTCTATGATCTCAAATAATCTACAGAGTGATCTTTCAAATGCGTGCATATTCCTCAACCTCTGAGTATGTGTCTGTTCTGTCTTATAAAATTAAAACCGTCGGTTATTATGGGATACTCACATAGTCCTGAAGATAAGAGGTTTATAAAATTAAATAACGACCCATTTAATCTAAGGTGGTTAACATGACAAACCCTTTTTAATGATAGTAGTGGCACTGACGAAAAACAACATCTATGCCCATACCTGCAAGCGACAGAGACTAAATAAAATACAACGTCGGCTTCCCTCCAGAATTCTAGGAACATTGCTGATAAAATAGCTGAAATTAAAATTGTGCAAGAGAGAGTGAATTTTATTGGGTAGTGTTGGGTTAGCAAGCAAGATGGACAGTTCTTGGGGTAACGCGAGATGAAAATGATAGTCTTAACTGTGAAACGTTATGCCACAAACGCACTCCACAATAATAACGCCTAATCCTGCCTTACAAAGTAAGATATGATACTCATCATAAAAGAGTTACATCGAGGCCGACAGCGATGGCGTAATGCATAAACACTGTTCGATGGTTTCAACATATCGACTAAAACAGCACACTTACCTATTATATGACTGCGATTATAGCCTTCTTCTATACTGGGTTTTAATGTAAGCACTTATTCACCTTCTAATCTACCAAATGTCTACGTAAATCATTGCACGAAGGACTGTTTCAAGTAATGTTATACGAAACATTTGCAAAATAAGGCATATTCTGACATGCCTTCCGTTAACAGTTCTTAGTATAAAATCCACTGATCAGTGTACCATTACGTGGATAAAAGTTTAGCCATTGAATATTCTTAGAGAATAAACACCAGACCATGAAACTGTGGATATAAACTAGGGCCGGCCTGACCTTAAAATTCCTAGCTATGAACGGGGGAAGTGTGTCTGGGCCTTTGCAAGTGAAAACCTGAAGCTCGGACCAGAAGTTTATATTGATGTCCATTTACGGTCTGAACATATAAAGTTCGCTTGGCCTTGCCTAGGGATAAATGACCAGGATTGTCTTATCATTACTTGCTTTTTTTCAAAATTATGGGTTATTTTCTTCATCCAACTGTAAAAATCACGGCGACCTAGGTGGGATTCGAACCTAGGTCGGCAAAGGCAAGGCTTGAGAATGGTCAACGGGGCTGTGCAATTCACAATTAGGTTAAGTGGGCTGTTAAAATCTGCCAACAGCGGCGGTCAATTAAGTGAGCCTCGAGGTCATCCCTTAGAATAAAGACTGATTACTTAGGAAATCCTGCTTTGGCAGTCAGCTTATTGCAGCAGAATTTGGAAAATTCTGTATCTTGCACCGGGCTGGGCGGGTGACCTGACCTCAGTCTGATTTTCTAGTTTGCGAAAAGCAATCTCCTAGTAAGAGGCTTCAGTATGGTAAAGGGGCGACAAACGGGCAAGACTCCTGCTTTAACAAACACTGCTCAGCACGCTTTCATCTAAGGATTTATCGGTGTAAGTCATTTACCAGTTGACCCTATTTTGCCTTCGCTTATGCCTGAAGTTTGTTTTGCAGTCTATTATGGTCTGGAGTTTAGGCCTCTCTGCTCAAAAAATTGCACAGTCGCAATACTGAAGGCCAGTTTGGAGGTAATTTCAGGAGTTGGAGCGGCATTTCAGTTGAAGAACCTTGCTGAAAACAAAGTAAGCGTATCTCCTGCTGTTAGGAAAGTCAGCACAATAAACCCATGCTGAAGCAGCGCGCCTTTGTCAGTCTGGTTGCAAACACCATTCGTTTGCAAAAATTCCATAATCAGAACCACTACAGACTATGAGATTTTTGCATAAGAAGATCGAACGTCGATTTCGAAATCACCAGGTCGCAGCGCCTGGTAGGCCGGATGAAGATCAATAGCCCTGTTGATTGTGCCAACTGAGGACCAGCTTTCGAGCACCAGCCTAGCCATCTTGTCATGGGCTCGACTGAGGACGCTTGCTTCCCCAAAGGCGAAACTCTGTTTCTCCTGTTGCATGTGGCCATATACCAGTGACAGTTTATCCTCGCGGTTGACTGCAAGCTGGTGCTCATGCAGTCTTGTGCAGAGGCGTTTCCCCGTTTCACCAACATACCGTGCATTGCAATTTTGGCACGGTATGCTGTAGACCACTGCTGATTGTTCCGTTGCCGGTAGCGGGTCTTTGGGTCTCATTATCTGCTGTCTGATGGTGGATTCCGGTTTATGGGCCACCCCAATCCCAAAAGGGTTTAGGATTCTAGCTGTCGCCTCGGAAACATTCTTCACGTAGGGGATCGCCAGCCAAAACTTCGGCTTGAGAAGCCGAGCACCAGCAGCATACCGTGCCAAAATTGCAATGCACGGTATGTTGGTGAAACGGGGAAACGCCTCTGCACAAGACTGCATGAGCACCAGCTTGCAGTCAACCGCGAGGATAAACTGTCACTGGTATATGGCCACATGCAACAGGAGAAACAGAGTTTCGCCTTTGGGGAAGCAAGCGTCCTCAGTCGAGCCCATGACAAGATGGCTAGGCTGGTGCTCGAAAGCTGGTCCTCAGTTGGCACAATCAACAGGGCTATTGATCTTCATCCGGCCTACCAGGCGCTGCGTACAAGACTCCAGGCAGTCCAGACGGGGCCGACAGTACTGGCGAGCGAGTCGCGGCTCCTCCAACAGTTGTCACCTTCACAGCAGGGGGAAGGAGCCAGCCGGAGGTCACACGACGAACGCGAGACATCGCCCCACCGGCGCGCACAGACAGCCGAGCGTGATTCGCACATGCAACGGCAACTGATCAGTCCATCCGATTATGAGGTGAGGGCCCATGGGCACACAGGATTGGCAGCGATTACGACAGCCGGCCAGGGGGCAGAGGTCACAGGAGCGCGTCATTGGCCGCCCGCGGAGGAACCAAAGCCAATCCCCAGCCAGAAGGCAGTTCAGAGTTCGTGCGTCAGGCATGCTTATAACACAAGACAGGCGGCGAGGCAGAACAACTTCGAGCAAGCAGGAACAGACACCCCACCACTCTGATGATGGAAACGAGGAAGTTTCCGAAACGTCAGCACCAATACACTGTGGTCCATGCAATCGCCCCTTTTTCTTCTTCGTCTTCTTTTGGGGATGATGAACGGGATAATTTATCAGGACC